TGGCAGGTCTCTTGACCCCAGGCCAGGCACAGGGGGAAGCCTGGGCCATGGGGCATGTGGTTGGTCCCACTGCTCCTGGGCATGCAACAGAGCTGGGGTGGCATAGCAGCCAGACTCCACTTTCTGGAAGCCAGGATGGTGGTGGCTCCTCCAGGCTGCTGCTGCTAGTATTGTTGTTGCTGGACCCAGACCTGCTGCCTGGGCACCTCAGCCTGTCTGCTCCACACCTACCACCTGGGTTGCTCGATGGAGCAGACAGGGTCTCCACAGAGATTGGCCCAGGACCCAGACAGACAGGGCACACTCAGTGTGCTCAGCTGGCCTGATGGGATGAGGCTGCAAATGGGTGGGGAGCAGGACAGGCAAGCAGGGCTGGGGCAGGATTGCAGGATGGTGACAGTGTGGGACTAGAGCCCAGGGGACAGCCACAATCTGCTGCCTGCACATCCCTGCAGTGGCACTGGTTCTGTGGGCAGGGACATGTTGGGAATGGTTTGTAGTTCTGCCCCAGGTCCCAGGGAAGAGTCACGGCAGCAATTTTTATGAGCTCTTGCAGGCTGGGGGGAGAGGGAGGGAGATGGGGAGGGCACTAACCTGGCCCACAGCAGGTCACTAGAACTCCCTGGGGGCTCAGATTGACAGGGTGTCCTTGCAAATCTGACCTCCACTCAAATATTAACCCAGTAACTGGGGACTGAGCTGGCCCTTTTAGACTGAAGGCAAGTAACTATTGCAGAATAGCTAGTGAAAGGATCTGGGCAGTACCTTTACATGGTGCTTCAAATCTTGTCAACCTGAGGGCTGCTACTCTTTCTCCTATCCTGATAGCTTTGGCCTAGGTCATTTTCTCCCTCTCTCTACTCAGACAGTAAAGTTAATAAGGGAGTAATAAAGTGTAATAAGGGAAAGCTGCTGGCTAGTACTTCTATCCTGCACCAGTCTTGGCTATTAAGGTCTGCTGTAGTCTGGAATTGATACTTTTTAGTTATGGTTTATGGCAAAGCTGAAGGTTATCTCTGTTATGTGAAGTAGTATCCGTAATTCCACGTGCCTTTCTGTGTTCTGTAATTCCAGAATTTTCTGGTAACCTTTACTAAAAATTAGGGGGTTATCCACTGCTGAAAAATGATGATTGGAAAAGGGAAATAAATAACAACAAAAATTCAGTGCTTTTCCTGTAGATGTTGCATAGGTACTGTCCTGCACTTGACCACCATGCAGTCCAGCCAACATTAAAGAAAGCGCTAATGTCCCGCAGCAAGCAAAATGACCACTAGATGTCACTGTTGCTCTACACAAGTGTATATGGAACATAATTTATCTAGCAGTCAAAATGTTTCTGAAAGGAAGCAATTTTAATACATATCTTTTGTGTAAGTTGTTGCCCTCTCTCTTGCTCTCTCTTTCTCAGACAAACACATACAGTTATGATTAAATACCTAAAAGTACCTTTAATTGGTTTTTTAACTACATGGAGTTTATAGGATCTGGCCATAAAATTATGCCTGTCATGTTCCTTTTGAATAGAATATGACTTTGTTTAGGTTTCTAAACTAATTTACTTAATATCAGATGTTTAAAGGAATGTGGATATTTAATCCCCATTGATTTTAATTGGAAGGAGTCTATATACCTTTAAAAATTAAAGCCTTTTTGCCATGATTAACAGGAGAGAGAGCATGAATAATTGCAATCAAATGCATTCAATCACTTATTTTAATGATTAATGAGATCAACAAATTGTAGGAGGTCATCTCAATTTCAATCTCACACCAAGCCTCTGAGTTCTTTGTACCAAACAGCACAAAGAAAAAACAATCAAGGATGTGAACTCATGTTAAATGGATAACATTGTCACAGACTCTTACACATTGAAACTGTCAGCAATGGTGTGGCTCTTCTTTTCATTGACCATTTAAGGACATTAAACGTAAAAGGGACTTTAGTAAATGTCATCACCATAATGACAAATTCAAACAATATTACTGAGGAGAGTCAATTAGATTTTAACACAAAGGAAGAAAGAAAAAAGCAAGTCTGAGGGGCACGAGGGCCCAGACATAGCACAGCCCAGAATTATGGTTTTAAATGTCAGGTGAAAATGAATACAAAGATAATGTACTTATATTTTAAGTCAGGGTACAATAGTTTTTCAGTCTCCAGAGGCCGAATTTTCAATGTCCTTTCCTATGTTCTCATGCAAGCCCCATGGTTGGATAAGCACAGAAACTGGGTACTTAAATACACAGTGACCTGATTTGTATGCACACTAATGTTTGGGAGAATGCACAAAAGCAAGTTTTGAATGTACAAATAAAATTCATTAGAAGTTACAGTCACTATCCGCCTTATATTTTTGCAGTACCAAAACATGTGATATTTCAATAAGGATCAGAAGAAAGATTATGGGAAAACAGAATAATATAATATTATGGGAAAACAGAATAATAAAAGGTATCATTTTGGAACCGAGAGTTCTAGTTTTTTGTATGGGAAAACAGACGCATTCATTGAGGCAACAGACACTCATTGCCACCTAAACATATATCTTTCTTGAAATGTTTGTACAAGAAATATCATGCTGATCCCAGGCACCTCTCTTAGGACTCAGCTTTTACACCTATAGCACTGATCTTGGAAATATGTAGGGAACTGTGCAACATCACTTATGTGAATGAATCCATTTATTTCAATGGGACCACTTATGTAAATAAAATAAGTTATGTTTATAATTATTTCTAAGAACATTACAATACAGAGTTCAATAAAAGGAATAAGCTATTTTATGCGGTAAAGCTAACCAACAATTCCCAAAGTTGAAATATTTATCCAAAGCTACTTCTGACTGCTTTTCTTGTGGTATCCTTAATTTCAACTGAAAGCAGACAGGAAAGGTAGTCAAGATATTTTGTGCCATAACTTGATTTTGCTTTAAGTTTTAAGTAAAGGTTTACTTTAATTCTTATCTGACCCACCTGTCCATCTTCTATATGGTGACAATTTTCCACTTCATATAGCCACTTCATAGATGTTTCATTGCTCAACATTATAATGAATTGGAAAGATCTGTTAGAAAAAGCAACTGAGCTTTGTCATGGGAGGAGATAGTTCCAGTCCTTAGGGATATTTAGATGCTATTGTTCTCTCACACATGTCTACATGGCTTGAATGTTTTGATAAATAGTACACATATCCATTTTATCAAGATAATCTTTTCATGTTTTTGAAGGCAGTGTCATATCTGTTTGACATAGAAACCTTTAAATTAAATGTTACATGACTTCTTTTTATCACCCTGTCACTATTTCACTAGAATCTAACAGAGAGAGAACTTTGGACAGGTTCAGAATGTTTGCTAAGGGGACTAAATAGTTACAGGGTAAATTACTTGCATGAAGTGGAAAAGGTCTCGTGGTTCCTAAAATATGTAGAATATGAAAGTTATTGCTATCTCTTTATCCCCTTTAGCTCTTTAGCTTTCAATTCATTTTGGGACTATGCTTATCTCTTTTTTTTTTCCTGTCTCCACATGAAAGATTGCCAAGGACAAAAAGAGAATAGCATCTGAGCAAAGTGAAGGTGACTCTTGATTACTTGAAATTTCAGGTGAATGGTTTATCTCTTGCAACACAGCCTCTGAGGACATTAAAAACAATAGCAATGGCTTTGCCATTTAACCTTCTAGCTATTGTGTTGTTGATTGGAACACTGCAGCCAAGATGAAGGGAGAGAAAAGGCACAATTAGGGTGGGACAGATATCAACCTGGATCTCAGGATCATCAAGATGCATTAGATACTCGAAGAATACTGCTTAAAGCAAACATATAAGTGGAGTCATTTAATTAACTTTTCAGATCTATTATGGGCTTCACACGAGTCACAACTTTCCATTTATACAGAAACCTGCATTTGGACAGATCTTAGTACACTTCACAAAGATACAGTCAATTGCATAATATGTTTTGACTTTTAGTTGAAAGGTACAAGAAAAAGGACACCTACATTTTCAGAAGCTAGTAAAGGTGAAAATACTATAGCTCTTTTGCAGGCCACATTGGAGAAAAGTGGGTGTGGGTGTGCATGTCCAGGCGTCACATTTAGATCGACCTCAGGAGATGCACTAACTTAGATCAAGAAAGGGTTAACCTGATCTAGGAAAGGGTTCACCCAAACTCCTTAATGCCTGCACAGGTTTGTAGCATAGTCCTGGGGCTTGGAAAGCCCAGCTGCTTGCCTGAGCCCTGCTCTCCCACTACCTTGACTGGCCTATATTTAGCCAAGCAACCCCCCACCCTCCCTGCAGACCTGCAAGACCCCTCAATCCTGCCGGCCCCTTCCCTCACCCCAAGTTACTTACACTGGGCTGCCTCTATGACTCCAAGCAGCATGCAGGCTGTATGCACCACTCCTGGTCTACATTTAGGCAGCTTAAAGCAAGCTGTCTGAACATAGCCATATATAATGAACATTTGTTGAATACCTTATGTGTTTAAGTTGGTAGACTGTATATAAGAGAGCTCTACAGTATTGACTAATACAACAAGGAACCCATGCCCAGAGAAATAGGGAAGAAGACTAAACATTCTTTATCCTTTGCTGTCCATAGAAGTTCCAAAATCATTGTACAAGAGTTAGCATGAGACATTAGCTTTATTTTACAGCCTGAAAGACTCAGCAATTAGACAACTTTGTTTTTTCCTGTTTTCCATAGCCCTAACAGGAGTGCCATTGGTGCGAATATGTAGCTTGAGTTAGCACTTGCCAAGCCAGTCTGGTTCTCTTTCCCTGGAAGCTCTTGTCCTAAATCTAACACCAGCAGCACATGCAGGAAAAGAATTGAATGCATGCTTTGCCATTGTGCTCCATTTTTAAAAAACTTTTATTGAAGAGAATTCATTTACCTTTATTGGTGAAGATTGAGTGAGACAGAGAGAGATCTCACAAGAATGAGCATGGTTTTCTATCTTAGTGTTAGAACACTCATTTGCAAGGTGAGAGACCAGGCTTCCAGGTCCTGCCCCAGGAGCTGTTCATGCATTAGAACCAGTCATATGATAGGTGGTTGTTGCAGCAGATACAGGATCCCCTTTCCCAAGTAAGCAACTTCACCAACAGGTTGGAGACTCATGTATATGGATGCTTTCTCTCTCTAACCCTAGCCCAATGAATCTTTGCATAATGGACAATGTCAACAGAAGGATTGATAATGTCCCTTTTTTTCCTTCCCCAGAGTTGTCCATAGCTGAGTGGTTAGGATAGTTTCTTAGGAGGATGCAAAGTGTAGGTTTGAAAATTTCAGGCAGGGAAAGTATTTGTATGCAGGTTTCTAACATCCTGGGTGCATCTACAAGAGACATTTACTGTGGAGCTGCCTAATTAGCTCTGCAGTAAACATCTCACATCTACATGTGTGGCCCTATTAGGCTGCAGTAAACTAAAAAACTCTGCAGCAGGGTAGTATTTGTAAATACAAATACTAGCCTGCTGCAAAATGTTTTACTCTGCAACTATGCATGTGTAGATGCTGGCACAGTTGGCTGGGGTGTGAGGTTGCTTCAGTGCAGGGACTGCCTGCTGGCTAGACCGGCACTGGTGCACCTTTGTGCCTTGGCCAGCCCTTCCAAAGCACACTGAGCTAGGCGGGAGTAGCCATGAGCTGGCAGGCTGGCTCTGGGACCCCCTGCCAGCTGGGGTTGCTCCAACCTGGCTCAATACGCTGCTGTCCTGGGTGCACATTCAAACAGTGCATCCAGGAGCAATAAACTCCAGCTTGATAAGCACTACAGTTTATTGCTTTGAATTAATTGCACATGTAGACATGCCCCCTGAGTGTGATAAGCACTGAGGTATTCTGGTGTGGGACCACAGGCTTCAATTAGTTCATCTCTTCTAGCACCCTATATCTGATCCTGTGGGGTCATTATCAGGCCTGCCATAAACCATGTCCTGTTCCAACTGACCTAGGCAGGTGAAGGAGGAATGTATTAGGATTCTATTATGCTTCATACTTCTGTGCTGAGGAGGGGTTGGAGCCACAAGACAGAATAGGATATAGGACTTGGGATATAAATGGAGCAGGATCTGGGTAAAATCAGGGGCATGTAGGATCTGGGAAGGGGGAGACTGAGGAATCGTGAATTTGGTTGGCCAGAGTAGATCATCATCCTTAATGAGAGGAATGCTTTTAGAATCAAAAACATATTTCAGCTATCAGGCTAGTAACAATGCCTCTTGGGAAGAATATGAGACTCCTGGGAGAAATAGTTATTAGCCTGACTGCATCAACTATTGCTTTTTGAAACCCAGGTTGGTTCTGAAGTTTCTTGTTTGAAGCTGTAATGGTTTGTTACACCTTCAGTGCACTTCAGTCATTAACTCCATGTGCCCTGATACAGAAAGGAAAATTTATACATGCCCCTAGTCTCCTTCACCTGTTGTTCACATCATAATCTTTGTCATGATCGATCAGCAGCACCATGCAGATCCAAGGATGATGTGGCAGGATTCCCAATTGGCAGAATGAAGGCTGGTTGTGGAACTTTTCACCCTAGGCCCTTTAAAGCAGTGTTTCTCAACCCATGGGTTGTGACCCAGAAGTGGTTCACAAGAATATATAAAAGGGTTGCGAACAAAATTTAATTGTGGATTTAAAATGGATTTTCCTTTAAAGGAGAAAAATGTGGGAAACTGTGGCTTTGCCCTTGCAGGCTATCAGACTTCCAGCCTGCAATGGGCTGCTTGGGGCCCTCTATGCCCCACACAACCCCCATACCCCACACACCTACTCCCTTTCCTACACACTGGAGGGCTGGGGCCTAGGGGTGGGGGGCAGCAGGTTGGGAGTGAGGGGCACTGGGTCAGGCCTGGCCATCGATGTTTACAAATGGGTCCAGATCTGAAAAAGATTGATGATCATTGTTTGAAAGGAGTGAGAATAGTATTGTACATGCAAGATACCCTGGAAATTGTGGTGATGTCTCTTCAGTAGAGACCACAGAGCCAGTGAAATAATGAGTTTTCCAAAGGGATGACATTGTCTAATGTGTGAAGAGTCAGTGTTCAAATGTGAGGTGTGACTGGGTGAAGGGCTGCAGGGGAGATATATCACCGCTTATCTTCAGGTCCTCTATCTTATACCTATGCCATTCTATGGCATTTATCTACTATACCAGGGGTTTTCAACCTTTTTATTAGTGTACCACTGGTGGCCCCTTTTTTTAATATGTGTACCCTTAGGGGCGGGGGTGGCGAGCGGCTGGACATGGAGCAAGGACAGCAGGGGTGTGAGCAGCGGAGTGGTGTCTGTGCGGCCCTGCTCCTGTGTGAACAGCGGCACGGGGTGGCAGCGCTCCATCCCCACCTGCCTCTGTGTACTCCCTGGGACCTTTCAAAGTACCCTCAGCAGTACATGTACCCCTGGTTGACAACCCCTGTACTATACTCCTAACTTCCCCCATGGCCTATTCCACTTAGTTAGTGTCAGAACTTGTGGAGCTGTGGGAGATGAATCTTTAACTGGAGCTGATCTTCAATGGAAAAAATAATTAATCTGGACACTGGTGTGTTGAGGGCTCCTTATTATATCTCCTTGCTTCATAGTTGCTCTGTTTTGACTTATTGGCTTTGTGGCTCCACTCTCACCTCAATAGTTTCTGAAAATCCTTTCCTTAAGAGTTTAACTCTCTCCTGGCATTTAATGGGGAGTTTAGTTTCTTACCTTGAGAATGAAAATCCCTCTAGGTGACAGGCTTCCTAGGGATTCTGGCTCACATATGTATGCACAAAGCCTGCTTTAACATGCTGGAAATCCAGCATGTTGGAGATTTGATGCAGTCCAGCAGCCTTCTGCATCATGTGTATCAGCATCACTGCATGCCTCTGCACTGGAAAATGGTGTTGGTGCACTTTGAAATAAAACATATTTGATGAACTTTAGTTTAAAGCCACCCCATTGCCATTTTTTCAGTGCAGGGATACACAGCGACTTTGATACACATGATGTGCAGGCACTTCTAATTAGTGCGGCTTGGTAATCAAAGCTCTGGGTACTACATCCCACAGCATGAGTAAAAATGCCTTGCTTATGTAAGCGATGTTAAAACACCTTTTAAAAATGGGCCCTCTGTCCATTAGGATATGTGGCTCTACAATTTATTTTTAGAAATAGCTCCTACTGCATTATATGGGAAAAGCAAAATCAGAGATATTAAAGAGTTGCAGATATTGTGTACAAAATAAATGGACTGAAGGACAAAATTGCTCAACAAAGTAGTTAGGATATGATTGACATTTTTGGATCATATTAGCATTGTGTGCTCAGTTATGGTACTTATCACTTTTTAAAGGCATCAGTATAACTATTTTATGTGTGTTCTTGTTAATTTACTTTAAGTACAGTAAAAAAGCATTTTACTACTTGCACAGTTCCCTGAACAATTGCATTTTCTGTCACAGTTCCTTGGCAAGTAAAACTGCCTTAGCAGTGATTATTGGATAAATTAGCATCATTCACGAACTCATTTTGTACTTTAGAATATCAGAGGTTGTTTGACTAGCCAAACTTCTTCCTTGTTGTTGTTGCTGGATGTGGAGGGGGAAGGGGGAGGGAAAGAGAGAAGATTAGTGAATTTTCATAATAAAAAGGGTGCACACATTTTGACTGTCAATTTTATATATGTTGATAAAACCTGCAGACACAAATCTATTTCTGACTGTGATTTTACTACCATGCCATAACTTCCTACACTGTCTAATGAACAGGCACAAAGGGAATAATAGACTTAATGGTTTAAATCTTATTTAACAAAACTAAAAGTTGGTGACAGTGATTTGTTTGCACAGTTTCTGAAGGAAGGAAAGTATAAAAGGGAGCGAGATACAGTAAATGGCAAAAGCTGTATCAAAACAAGCCTGATTTTTTAAACTGCACTTTCATTGCTGTGTCTTGGGCCACAGTTTTGGGTTCAGATACTAGCATTTAATGTAGCATTGTTTGTTGACCCATGGTTATTTGTGAACACAAAACTATCCTTGTAGAAATCAAGGCCCCTTTAAAAATTGGCCCAGTGTGTTTTCCAACTGAAAGCCAAACATTTAAAACTTGTGTTCAGAGAAGAAAATGTATGTTACTTTATATCTCTGGTCTGCCTTTGTATCTTGAAATTTTCTCTTTAATTTCATTAAAAGATGAAAAGGTCACATTTATATAAAAGATTTACAGATCATATTTATAGGAATTAGTGAACCTATTACATTTTCCTTCCTCCAGTCAATTATGATTGGTTAATTCATGAATGAAGGCCAAATGTATCCATTAAAGTGTAATGCTTAGTTCTTACAAATTTGTAAAGTTCAGACCTCAAATAGTATAAATGGACATTATTTGCAGTGGAGTTTTGCTAATTTAAATTAGGTGAGAGTATTATCCTATATACCTAAGCTAGATCACTTAACAAGTTGTATGTAATTAGTTGAAAACTACTTATAATCTACTTCTGCAATATGTAACCAAACACATACTACTATACTATGGCAGATATCCTTACCAGAGGTTTTCCTGGAGCAGTAGATCTTGGTATAAGAGCCTGATCATTAAATAGCAACAGCAGTACAATATTTATGGTGTACAAAGGAAGCCAGGAAGAAGCTTTATATTCCCCTGTGTAATATATTAGACTGCCTGACTTAGTTGTTGCTGCTTTATATCACAATGCCTTTCATGGATTAGTGGTTTAGGGCTAGAGGTAAACAATCCAGGAAGCCAGCAAGAGGAAATGTGACTCAGGAGCTTGGTTTGGAGAGAGTGCTTCTCTGGGAGGGAAGTCCTGTTTTCATGTTAGTAATAGGTTAAAGGCCAGAGATAATCCTGGCAGCATAGACAGGGATACAGGGGTTGCTTCTTTCCTGGGGGAGTGCCATGACCACTGGGCTATATATAATAATCACACACCCTCTTGTTTGATGTCTTTTTGTCTCCTTGCCTGTTGTGCTCATGGCTCAGTGGGCCAGCTTAAAGAGAAAGGGGTAGATCTTGGTAGGAAGGGCCCACCCTATCTAGTCTATATTTTGTTAAAGCATCTTCCTAGGGAGTGGGAGATATGGGTTTCAGTTACTTCAGGGTGAAGGTCCTAGGACTTTGACTTCCTGGGCAAGAGATCTTAACACTAGGCTCTTGGGCAAAATGCAGCTATGTTGCCTCTAGCTATATTTTGGAATGAGATGCATGAGTGTTAGTGTCAAACAGTTGCTGTCCATGCATAGGGATTCGGGATCTTAGGCAGTTTGGGTGCATCTACACATGATGCTATATTGCCGTAGCAATGCACTGTGGCGACATAGCATCATGGAGGGCCTACATGTGACCAGCAGCTATGCTGCCATAATGACACACTTCCCTGGTAGAGTGCACCTCTATGGCAAAGTAGTTGCTAAAAATAACCAATGCCCTGCACATATGGTGCAGTACAGGCTGTTACTGTGCCATGATTTAGTACTTCTAAAAGGAAGTGCTAAATCACAGTGCAGTAACAATGTCACCATAGTGGTATGTGTAGACATGTCCTTTATGTATCTCCTACCATACATTTGGATTATACAAGATCTTAGATAGGCATTAGATGCTTAGGTGGTTGATCTGGGTCACTTCTGAGCATGCAAGTCTAGGCACTTAAGGATCTTTTCAGGCCAAAATGGGCACACCTAATAAATCTAGGCACCTAAGTGTTTGGTGTCCACTGAGCAGGGGCAATTTGGATCACTCTTTGTGACTTTGATGTCTAAATGCTGCCCAAGCCCAGATTAAGTACTTACAAGGTCAATTTGGATTTGGCCTTTATTTGCCTTAAGTGGACTTCGGCAGAATTTTAGCAACCAGGTCCAAAATTGTGGTCCTGAAAACTTCCCCACACAGCTGCTGCCTAAGCCTAAAGGCATCCAAATTCTGTACATGCCTTTCTTTACATTCAAGTTCCCAGATGCCAAGTTCCCATACTGCACAGACCCAGAGATTTCCTAGTCTCTACAGGTCTGAGCAGCTTGACATCTAGCCCCTGCTTAAACCAAGAACCAAAAATAAGCTGTTCCTCTTTTCCTGTTGTGCTCGATCCAGTGGGCATTCTCAGACCAGGCTTAACACACATGAATAAAAAATACTGTAGTAGATTCCAGTATCTTTCAAGACATGGCTGCAGGGCAAGGAGGATGGAATGGTGCCCCTCTTCTATACAACAGTTTAATGATTAAAGTCTTCCTCAAAAACTAGGTTTATTTCCCTCCTTCAAATCTACATCTGCCACCTTCTAGGAGGAAGCCTTAACCACAAGACTATGAGCTATTCTAGGTTGGTCATGTTCCAACCTTCTTAAATAAATCAGACAACACTTGTGCTCAGTCTAAGTTCATCGTTTCACTTACAAAGCAAGTTGACATTATATGGCATGCACTGTGTGAAAACTATCATGGAAATCTTAATGTAACACTTTATAAATGTTTATTCATATAAATGTTTCAAGAAGTGATAATGAGAGAGGCTTTCCTTTTGCAATAATTCATCTTAGTGGTTACGGCACTCTTTTGAGAGAAGAAATATAGGTTTTAAGCCCCTTTAGGCAGAGCAGGTTTTTAAATCTGGGCCTCCCACATACCAAGTGAGTGCTCTAACAAGTAGTTTTTTGGGGCAAAAAGAGTGAGTTCTGGTTGTGTTTTGTGTGTGGTTAGATGCAGCATGGGCATATCTGAGCAGATCAGAGATTGCAGATATCTGAGTAGATTGGGGACTGTGAAATAGGTGAAGACACCCTAGTGTCTAGGTAAGAGAAGCTAGCAAGGTATTCATTGTCGTCAAGACTTAAATGCTTATATGCATAGACAGTGCTAGAAATGTAGGTACATAGGGGTGTTTACTGGTGGAAACCTAAGCAACAAAAGAATATAAGCAAGAGCTGAATAGGGGTTTTGCAGATCTAAATTTTGGAGTTACACACCTTGGCCATGTTCAGACATGCATGGACATTTGTTTCCCCAGGAACAACTAGATGCGGTGCACCTTGTGCCACCGCTAGTTGTCCCTGAGGAACGCTTGTGCCATGCGCACTCTGGTGTGTGGCAAGTTACCCCAGATGGGTTAGGGGAGGCTAGAGCCAGCACTGGGCTGGCCTCACAAGCCTTATCTGAGGTTCTGGAGGCCTCCTGGAGCTGTAGCAGTGGCGATCCTGCTGCGTAGAGCCTGGTTGGCAGTGGAGCGGGGCTTTGGTTGGCCAGACTTCCGTTTTGGGTGGCACACACTGTTGCTGCATGCGCTGTTCCACATTTTTTCCCCATGGGTTCCATGGCATATCCAGGGGTCAAAAAACCCCTCCACGCTGCTCCCTTGCAGTGTGGAGAACAAGGGAACATACTACGTGGCCGCACCCATCTGGATGTGGCCCTTGTGAACCTAATCCTTATTGACTAGTTGGCCACTCTTAAACTTGGTTAAGTATGTATTAGAATAGCTCTTTGTCATTTATTAATAACCATTTGTAAATGGAACCTTAACATAAAGTGTGACTGAGTTCTTTCTATTTCAGTCTAAAAACAGCTCTGCATAATAACTCCACATGAATCATCCAAAGCAGCAGCACTCCTCAACCTTAATTATAGCATTCATCACCCGCCAACGTGGGTGATGAGTTCTGTGTTTTTAGTAAAGCCGAGCAACAGTTATTTTATGATTTTAATGTCCTGCAGCCCATGAAGTGGCAGCAGCTTCACAGTTGACCTATGACTATTATCTGTACATTTAAAAAAAAAGGAAAAGCTTGTGTTCTGATTTCAGAACAGCTTTAAATTGACACTGTTTAAAAGCAGTATGTTTGTTGGGTTGGATTCTGACCAGTTAATTTACATAATATTTTATCCATCTATTTAAATATTGGCCTATTCAACTCCCAAATTCCCTCAAGTCACTTCCTATAGTCACACATGTATTTTTTTGCCTGATGATTTCTTTCAGTTTTCTTTTTAAGATGGAGAAGTCCAAACACTATCGAAATCATTACAAGACATTACAAACAGAATAATCATTTAGGTGATTACTAACTGAAGAATGATACTATGGTTGATGGGCAGGCCTCATTTACCATAAAGCAAAAGCAAAAGGTGTTTTCAGTTAAGTTAGCTTAGCAGTGCCGGCTTAGCTTGTTATTAAGTGATTTATTGGGGATTCAGTTATCTATATAACTGTTTAAAAAATACATTTTGTTAACAAACACATTTTGCTGCGTTTTAGCAGGTCAGAGTATATCCCAGGCAGGATGCTAGCAAAAACACTCTTTGTATTGTAAGATAGATGATCAGGTCAAAATGGGGATTTAAATTGGGATGTAGGCAGAATGTAGGCCCCTAAGTCCAGAATTACAACCTTGAATACTCCTAAATTAGAGTTGCTTAAACTCCCTATGAGGTTTAACTGTTGACTTTAAAATTTCTCAGACACTTGGGATGCACCTGGGGAGGAACAATAGGCACCACACATGCAGGCTGGGGAACTCCCCTCTTGTCAGCACGGAGGTGGAAAAGGATCTGGGAGTCATTATTGACTCCAAGATGAACATGAGTCGGCAATGTGGGGAGGCGGCTAGGAAGGCCAACTGCACCTTGTCGTGCATCCACAGATGCATCTCGAGCAGGTCCAAGGAGGTGATCCTCCCCCTCTATGCGGCACTGGTCAGGCCGCAGCTGGAGTACTGCGTCCAGTTCTGGGCGCCGCACTT